GTGGCAAACGCGACGGTCTGGAGTTTTGAGACTCTCTGACCGCGGGTTCAATCCCGGCCGGGGTATGGTTTGTTTGCAATCGTGTCATTACGATTTCGTGAGTCATGTTGACGGAAGTGAGGGGACTTGAGCTAGAGTTCGTCACGGCCACGCTAGCTGGAGATTCGTCTGTAAAAACTTGCATTTGTGGTCACAGTGGTGCCTGTGCTAACCTTCCTATGGTGTAGGAATATACCTAGTTGGACGAATCTTATTGTGGCTAGCTGGTCTAGTGGCTAATGTGATGGTCTGGAGTTTTGAGACTCTCTGACCGCGGGTTCAATCCCGGCCGGGGTATGGTTTGTCTGCAATCGTGTCATTACGATTTCGTGAGTCATATGAGAGTGGTGTGCGGCTTGTTGAGCTTGCCAGGATGTATGGGAAAAACATGTCAACCACGCTTCTATCCTGGCAAAGAAAGAACAAATCAGGGAACCTGATTTGTTACTGAAGTTGTTGCTAGTGTGGATCAAGGATAAAGCTATGGAGGGTGACAGTATTTCTGAGACAATTATTTGTGAAAAGGCAAGGCAGTTGCATGCCGATCTTGTAAAGAGAACTCCTGGAACCAGTGCTGATAATGAATCTAAGGCCAGCAGAGGCTGGTTTGACAGATTTAATAAGTGTAGTGGCATACACAATGTTGTAAGGCATGGTGAGGCTGCCAGGTCAGACAAATGGGCTGCTGAAAAATTTGTGCATGAATTTAAGGGGTACGTAGACACAGAAAAATTCAAACCCCAATAAGTGTTCAATTGTGACGAAACAGGCCTGTTTTGGAAGAAAATGCCAAAGACGACCTACATTACTCAGGAGGAAAAGGCACTCCCAGGACACAAGCTTATGAAAGACGGGCTAACTCTTTTGCTCTGTGCTAATGCTAGTGGGGATTTTAACCCTTTGACTGTCGCAACCCCCAATCCTGAGGTGTCTCCTGGTGTCGCAAAATTTAAAAAAAAAAAAAAAAAAAATTATTTTTTCTTATGAAATGATAGAGAATCTTTTCCCAATTGTAATGACACCAAAAAAACGAAATTTGATGGAAAACTGACAGAATTATGCTCTCGCGAAGTTAGCGACCTCGGCGCTGTTTACAAATCGGCGATTTCGCCCACTTTGAGCCCTATTTTCGGCTAATTCCATTGTTCCAGTCGCCCAAACTCATAGCTATTTCTTTAGAACTTCATTTTTTCTATCGATTGAGTACAAGAAACTGCCCATTTACTGATTTCAACTACCTAATAATGTGGTCAGAAATTTGCAATTTGGCCAATTTCACGAAAACTAAAAAATATGACAATTTCAAAATAAGGTCCAGAATGAACAATGCAGACATTCCAGGCTCTAAAATAACGTTTTCTTTGTTCATCAGTCACGTCTCCAGGCCCCCTTGCTTTCTATTTTGAATTTTTATTCAAACAAAAAATATTAGACTTACTATTATGCAGACTACTGCAATGCTGTAATAACTGTATAAATAACATCAACCCATTCATGACTGCATATTAGAATGGCTAGTTGGACATTTATTGGACAATGGCATCATTTGTTTACTTTTGAACATTGGCAAAAATCAAACATTTCCCCTACTTTTAGCTCCATTTCTAGGTTCTTTTTATAGTAAAATCAATCAAAAGCACCTCTATTTCTGTAATATGTTTTCCATTCTATCAAATGAGACCAAGAAAACGAGAATACAACCATAAATACTATACGAAAATAGACCACAAAGTCGGCATTTTAATTAAAAAAAACGGTCGGAGTTTTTTTTTTCTCATTATGCACTGCGTGCTCCAGGATTTTTTTTATATGGTGCACACTGACCACACAGACCCATTCTCTCACATGTGGGCCTACCAGCTTTCTCCTGCTTGATTTGAAGCCGCTAGAATTTATGAGTATATATACGTCAAACACGGCACCTCGTAAAACGTATATATACGGCCGCGACAGTCAAAGGGTTAAAGTGAAGCCTTAACTGGTGTATCACTCAGAAAATCCCAGAGTGTTTAAGAAAAATAATGTCATTAAGAACAAGTTATGTCATATGGAAAACAAATAATAAGGCATGGGTCATGAGGCAAATTTTCAAAGAGTGGGTCCATGAAGTGTTTGGCCCCAGCATGAAAAAATACCTCCTAGAAAATAATTTGCCACTCCAGTGCCTCCTGTTACTGGACAATGCTCCTGCACATCCCCCAAACTTGGCTGACCTACAGTCTAGACCTACTACAGTTTCATCACAGTGAAGTTCTTGCCTCCTAACAACACTCCTCTCCTCCAGCCCATGGACCAGCAGGGCAATTCTAACTTCAAAAAACTCTACACAAAAGCAGTGTTTGAAAAGTGCTTTGAAGTGACCTCAGACTCTAAGTTGAGTTCTGGAGGAATCACTTCAGTATCTACACCTGCATAAGCCTTAAAGGTAAGGCTTGGGAGGGAGTGACTTCCAGGACTTTGAACTCTGCTTGGAGACAATTGTGGCCACAATGTGTTGTCCAGAGGGATTTTGAAGGGTTTGAGGCTGACCCTGCTGACCCTCTGCCTGTTGTGGAAGGTATCGTGGCACTGGACAAGTCCATGGGGTTGGAGGCAAGTGGCGAGGATGTGGAAGAGTTGGTGGAGGACCACAGGGAAGAGCTAACCACTGAAGAGCTGGAAGAGCTTCATCTGGAACAGTATCAGACCACAGCTCAGAACTTGCTTTAGAGGAGGAGGAGGAAGAGGAAGTGGATGAGGTGCCTTCTTCAAAGATTAAGGAGATTTGTGCCAAGTGGAATGATGTGCAAATGTTTGTGGAGAAGTACCACCCTGAGCAAGCTGAAACAAGACATCTTTGCAACAAGTTCAGTGACAGAACCATGTCCCATTTTAGGGAAATTTTAAAGAGGCACCAGAAACAGAAGACTGTGGACAGTTATTTTCTGAGACAGGGGTCCAGTGACTCTCAAGCTGGTTCTAGTGTCATTAATCCTTTGACTGTCGCAAGCCCATTTCTGAAACTGTCATTCTATGTCGCAAAATTTTTGGAAAAAAAAAAAAAAAAATTTTTTTTTTATGATATGACAGAGAATCATTTTCCGATGGCAATGACACCAAAAGTATGAAATTTGATCGAAAACTTATGGAATTATGCTCCTGCAAAGCTAGAAATCTCAGTGATATATACGTATCGGTGATTTTGCTGACTTTGAGCCCTATTTTCAGCCAATTCCATTATTCCAGTCAACCAAATTCATAGCTATTTCTTTAGAACTCCATTTTTTCTATCAACTGAGTACAAGAAACCACCCATTTACCGATTTGAACTACCCAATAAAGTGGTCAGAAATTGGCAATTTGGCCAATTTCACACAAATTAAAAAAAGATGCCAATTTCAAAATAGGGTCCAGAATAAATAATGCAGACATTCTTGGCACTAAAATAACATATCCTCTGTCCATTAGTCATGTCTCCAGGCCCCTCTTATGTTACTCTTGCTTTCTATTTTGATTTTTTATTCACACAAAAAATAGAAGATTTACTGCTATGCAGACTACTGCATTATTGTAAAAATGGTATATTATTATTATTATAATCAAAAAAGAAGCGCTAAGCCACAAGGGCTATACAGCATAAAAATGGTATAAATAATATCAGTGTACTAGTGAAAGAATATCAGACTCCCCAGTTGACGTGTATTGAACGTGTGGTGTGATTTGCTTACTCTTGAAGAGTGGTAAAAATCAAACATTTCCGCTACTTTGAGCTCAATTTCAAGGTCGTCTTCATCGTGAAACTAATCAAAATCATCTCTGTTTCTGTATGTTTTCCATTCTATCAAATGAGACAAAGAAAATGAGAATACAACCATAAATACTATAAGAAAATACGCCTCAAAATCGGTGTTTTATTATGCAGTGTGTGCTGCAGGATTTTTTTATACAGTGCACACTGACCACAGAGACCCATTCTCTCACATGTGGGTCTACCAGCTTTCTCCTGCTTGATTTGAAGCCGCTAGAATTATGAGTATATATACGTCCAAAACACTGGCTCGTAAGACATATACATACAGCCGAAACAGTCAAAGGGTTAAAAGACAAAGAAGGGAAGTAACCCCAGAGAGGGCTTTGGTATCATAAGTCTTTATGGAGGGGGATTCCCCTTCCAAACAGTAAGCCCTCCCTCACTCCTCCTCCCTATCTTCCAGATGCCATCAACAATCTTCAATAAAGGTAAGTAAAAATGTTATTTTATATGTTTATTTAAATTTTTATTTATCAGTTACTAATTGTACTATGTATGTTTGTTGTGTGTATGTAAAGCTATAATGTAATCTCTATAAAATGTATTTTTTTGTGAATATTTTTGGGTTTCTGGAATGGATTAATTCTATTTCCATTATTTCTTATGGTAAATATTGCTTTGACTTTCAAACATTTTGACTTTAGAGCTAGCTCCTGGAATGGATTAAGTTTGAAACTCGAGGTTCCACTGCATTAGCAAAGCCATGCGTTAACCATAGCTATGTTAATATGATTAAGGAAAATTTGGCACTTAATGATGCGAGCAATGCTATCATCACAGCATTGGGATCTTGTGTTGTAACTTAGGTTACTTAACCCTTAAACTGTCCAAGCAGATCTATGTTCACATGCGTAGTGCTCCAAAAGTAGATCTACGTTTTTTTATACATATTTTCAATAACAAAAAAAGAAAAAAGTAGATCAAAGTTTTTTTACACGTTTTCAAATGTAGAAAAAGAAAAGAAGATCTACTTTTTTTACATACTTTCAAATGTTGAAAAAACAGATCTACGTTTGGACAGTTTAAGGGTTAAGCAATTGTTTTTACTAAGGACACTTCTAGCATTGTTTGGTGTGGAGTAACTGCAGTTTGGTTAGTAAACTGTTCATTGCTGTGTATGTTATCTAGGAGGTTACCCAATAATTGTAGACACAGTACAGTACAGTATTACCTTCATAAACTGTAGCTTCCCTCTTACTTTCACTGCTGTCTATGCCACTACTGCTCTGCAGCTGTCTTGAAATATATTCCTTGGACCTTACTGACTGAAATTACATATATAAAATTATTTTCATAACTTATACATTAAATTTTTATTGTTATCATCACATTCATAAGTAAGTGCTAACTCATAAGTCCTACAGTGCTTGGAAAATGAGCTGTTTGACAGCAAATTGTTTTTAATAAAGACTTTCTCTAATGTTTTTTCAGTACTTTTACAACACATCACTTGTCACTGATACAAGCACATAGTTCTTCCTTGCCTCCTTTTTTGACTAGTAGCACTGTATTTACATGTGTACCATTATTCCATTATCTAGCAGATTATATTTTTGTAATGAGATCCAATTTTTTTCAGAATAGATATCCTAGCTTTTCTGCACACTCTTAAAATTATATAATGGTGATATCTCACCATATTCCACTGCTTTTTTTTTTTTTTACTATCTTAAACAGTAATATATTCTCTACAACATTTTGATGGACTCCATTTAAACTGGCTGTTATTGGTTCATATTTTCATCTAATGTGTTCTCCTTTGTAAACCAGGAATGTGTGCTAGCAGGCTGCCAACAGCAACAACCTGATTGACCAGGCAAGCACTGGACAAGCCTGGCTCCAGGCTGATCTGCAGGGGTAGGAAGACTCTTGAAACTAATCACAGATATATCACAGATCACTAATGTAATTCCTATTTTCAAATCAAGGGATAAGATTATGCCCTCAAATTACTGTATTGACCAAAGAAAAAACCTAGAACCTTGCCTCTGCTTGACTATCTCCTGCATTTTTAACAACCAAATTTACTGGGTACAAAATATCCCCCTTGAATATCAATAATTTCCTTAAAGAGCAACCAGCTGGGCATAACTAACAAATGAATGTACTTACTTAGTATGTGCTGAGCACCCCCTCCATGATCAGTGACTGTTTCGTCGAAAAATAACCAACAAACACACATGGCAGCTCAGCTCTTGTCTCCCTACTACATGAGAATATAGTATATAAATGCATTGGAGAACAGAGAAGGATGACAAACTTAATCTGTATAAGGAATCATACAGTGGGAGCCCTGAACCTACATTGCCCTGAAAGATGTATAGTACGGAGATATGATTGAAAAATAAAAATGGAAGACAGGTTTAAATGAAGGAGAATACAAAATGGGTGCTAAGAATATCTAGTCAAGAAATAACTGGGAACATTAGATTCAAGTTGAATAAATTTAGATTTAGAAAAGATACAGGAAAGTACTGGTTTGGCAATAGTTATTGATGAGTGAAACAATCCACCAAGCAGTTAGTGAAGCTAAAGCCTTGAGTAGCTTTAAAATAGGTTAGAGTAGACAAATTCATGAGTGAACAAAGATGGATTTGAGAAGGACCTGCCTAGCATCAGCCAGTAGATAACTGAGACACATGTACAACAATTAGGTACCTTTATTGTCAAAACATTTTACCTGCACAACAGGCTTTCTTGAATACAGACAATCAAAACACTGGAGGCAGTAGAAGAACTGGAGAGGCAATTTTGACATAGTCAGTCCTTCAGCCTTAATAGTGATCAGTTCCATGGCCTAACTGATCATCTTAAAATTCTCTCCCCAGTTCTTATACTGTTTCTATTGTCATATCACCTGTATTCAACTGAAGAAGCTGTGCAATCAAAACACTCTGATAACAAAGATACCTAAGTGCTGAGCATGTCTTTCCAACTTGTTGGTAGTATTAACCATTATATGATGGACCAGTAACCTAATGAAGTGCTCCTCTATTCTTATGATGATGATAGTGATGATGATGATAGTGATGATGATGACAGTGATGGGGGCTCTGGTGGCCTGGTGGCTAACGCTCTCGCTTCACACAGCGAGGGCCTGGGTGCAATTCCCAGCCAGAGTAGAAACATTGGGCGTGTTTCTTTCCACCTGTTGTCTATGTTCCCCATCAGTAAAATGAGTACCTGGGTGTTAGTCGACTGGTGTGGGTCGGATCCTGGGACACTGATCTAATGTTCCCGAAATGCTCAGCATAACAAGGGGCTTTCTATATAGTAGTATGTCACTGATGTCAGCTAGGCCTGTATACCATGTACATGTACTTGTAGTAAATAAAGATATTATTATTATTATAATAGTTATGCTGCTGCCACTGCTGTTGCTGTTGTTGTTGTTCAGAGACACCACAGGTGATGTTTTATTGAGCCATAGCTCCTGGAGTCTGGGAAAAATACATTTCTAGCAGAAATGAGAAAGGAAACAGAGTTTCCTCTGGAAAGAGAAACGGAACAATAAATTCCTAGCTTAGGTCAGATGGACCCCAGGCCTTCACTGCCCACTCCCCTTCTAGGCAAAATGCTAAGTATGACTTGGATAAATTTCTTTGATTTAGATTAATAGCTACCTTGTAACTGGTTAGCAACTCTTCAAGTCTGCATTTCATAACATCATTACCTCCAGCACCGAGGCAGATAATGGGGTTGTTCCCATTACCCGACATGATGTTATCTAACCTATTAACTACATCACCTACACCTGTTCCAGGGAAACACACACTCTTGCCTTCTTATGTCTATTATAGACATCTGAGCACAAACAGGTAGTGCATCTGTCTCACGGTTAGCCGATGGAGGATCAAGCCTCCACCATGTCTTACACTGAATGACCCACATGGGATTAGCACTTAACATGATTAACAATTAATTATTATCCCTATTACAGAAAGCCTGGTCTATATAATGAATCTGAGAATGCCCAACACCAAGAATGTTCTTTGTCTTACATGCTGAGGTATATGCCGTACCTGTCTCCTTATCCATAACTGCACACTCATCACAGCAGAGCAATTTCTATTCTCTAACCCTGTTTCAACTTTTCTCAATTTCATCCTCCTCTCACTTCTGGAAACCACTACTACTGTTAACAAAGAGCTTGTAAATATAGTAACCTGGATGACTGTCAATAAACATACACTTAATATGGACAAAGCCTTTTACATTATGTTTGGGAGAAGAGAAAGTGAGGTCCAAGTAAACATTATGCTTAACAACATTCTTAGTGCTAAACATTATGAGGGAAAAGTCCTGGGTCTACACCTTGAGAGCAACCTGAAATTCAACACCCATATCCAACACACAAAATAAGTATCTAAAACAGCTGGCATCCTCTCAAAGATACATTACTATGTACCACAAACAGCACTACTTACACTATACTATTCACTGATATTATGTGTGCCTGGAGTTCTACAAATGACAAATCGCCTAAAGCCAATAATAACCCAACAAAAAGCTACAGTGCAAATGATCAAATAATCCACTACTAGACAACACCCCCCACTCACTATACAAAACATTCACTCATACTATTGTGCAACCTACATATACAGAGCAATCAATTCTAATATAAATCATGACCTGAAGTGCTTTCTTCACAGCTGCAATAGGACCCATAGACACAATACTAGGCATAAAAATCTCTATGACATTCCCAGTGTCAGGCTAAATCTTTTCAAAAACTCCATGTACATAAAAGGGCCCAAAATATGGAACTTTCTGCCAGAAATCTCCAGAACCACTGGCTCAGGTAGCATTTTTAATACTAGTTAGAAAACACCTCATCTCCTTAACCTCTCTCAGCCCATCATAAATACATATGTAAAAACTATACATGCATTTGCTCATGAACATAGGTAAAACATTATAATTCATATATACTTATTCTCAATACTATATGTAATCCTCTCAAATGTTAATCATTCCATTGTGTCCACCTCAGGGTAATAGTCAAAACTGTAATTCTTCTCTACCTAACTTATTAAAGCCATATAGCTTGAACTAAAAGAATATTCAATTCTCTTGTATACATTGTAACTCACCTAATGCCCTTATGTACAAAATTACTGCACTGTTATTGCCTTATTAACCTTAAGTTAGTCTTAAGTTTGCCCAAAATGCTCTGCATATAAAGGGGCTTTTGGTATGTACACCCAATTGTTATACTCCTTTGCACAAACATATATCATGCTGAAATAAAAATTATTATTATTATTATTATTGTTTCCTTCATTTCTGAGAACAACCTCACATTCCATATTGCATGTACATTATTATCCTTATCCAAATGAGATTTAAATTTATCATTCTCCCCCCTAAGAACTAGAACCTCATCCTTAAGAACATCCTTTACAACTCTTAATAATGCTTCTAGAATGCTACAAGCTCCTGAAATCTTATAGCACAAGTACATTCTTATCTTCTCATTAGTACCTGAGTAGATTGGGTTCCATTGTCTTGTTTGTTTGTGTGTTGACTCAGCATGGTTTCCAGTTCAGTCATTGCTTGCTGGGTTGGTTACTTGATCTTGAAGTTCTGTGTAGTTACTGTGCAATTATGATATCAAGATGAAGCTAAGATTTGTTTGCATTTTTAAACCCGGCAGGTTGGCCACCCAGGACAACCCAAGAAAGTCGGTGAGTCATTGAGGACTGTCTTATTTCCATTGGAGTCCTTCAATCTTGTCCCCCAGGATGCAACCCACACCAATCAGCTAGCACCCAGATACCTACTTACTGCCAGGTGAACAGGGACAGCAGATGTAAGGAAACATGCCCAACATTTCCACTCATGCCATGGACTGAACCTCCAACTGTGTGAGGCGACAGTATTGTATGGTTTTGCCTTTTGAAGGTAGCCAGTTCTTCATTTGGTTGGTTAAATTTCCCTTAAGGCTTGTTTAGACTCATGGCTTCAGTGTGGCCCTCCTGCTTTCTGCAGTATGGAGATTTCATATGAGTTTTACTTAAACTTTGATCCAGTGTCCCTACCCTAAGGCTCCGGTCATATTGCTTAACTGCTGCAGGTCTATAATGATATATCACTAAAACAATCTACATCTATTATGGTTAGTCTATAGGCAGAGATGAACCCTTAGTTCCTTTTTGGCCTTTCGAAGATTATTTAGGCTGATCTGCACTAAGTTTTATATCGTTTTAGGTTTCTACATACCCTGCTGGTTTAACTGTGGCATTATTTCATTTGTGGGGGGGGGGGGAACTGGAGTAAATGACCAGCTCTGGTAGACGTGATGCTGTATAGCCCTTGTGGTTTAGCGCTTCTTTTTGATTATATTAATTGCAGACGTGATTCCCTGACCATCATGTAACAATATAGTCCAGCACACTTGTTATAAGAAATCAGCTTTAGTTACCAAAAACAATTATGATATATTACCTCCATTTAAGGGCTGAATATTCAGTTTTAACAAATCACCCTCGGATCGTTCAATAAAATAATAGAGTAACAAAGATGTACACAGAAGCGAGGAAGTAATGTTTACATTGTCGCCACTGATGACGTTCTTCTAGGAAATGTCACAACAAAGTCGTTCCTTTCTTTTTGGACGGTGGTTGTGCAAATTTATTTAGGTACAGGTACATATAAATACAGCTATCATACATAGTGTAAATTACCTAGGATAACCCCCGAAAAGTCAAAGTGACTTATTTCCACCGAGATCCTTGGTGAGGAATGAGTTGAATTATTATTATTATAATCAAGGGGGAAGCGCTAAACCCGTAGGATTATACAGCGCCCAGGGGGGGATGTGGAAGGCATTCAGGCTTAATTTGGGGAACTGGAGCACAGATTCAATTCCCTAAATCAAGAGCCCCTCACCAACATCAAGGAACCTTCCATGAGGGGGGAATGAGTTGAAACCACCCAGAGACTAGTGTTTCCCTACTTGACCACATCTGGACCAACACCATATCCCCTTTAAAATCAGGCATAATTACAGATAATACCACAGACCACTACCCTACTTTTCTCATAACAACTCTTGGTAAATTACCCCAAGACACTACTAAAGTCACCTTCAGACTTCACAATGAGGCAGCCATTAATAACTTCACAACAGCAGTAGCAAACATTGACTGGCACAATACCTCTATAACAAGCACTGCCCTAAAAAAACTAAACAGATGACAGCTAAGAGACTGAACAGTCCCTGGTTAACACCCAGCATTCTCAAATCCATAAATACAAAACACCAATATGAAAAACAGTACAGAATGGGTCACATAACCAGAGACCAAACAAAACGTTACTCGTCAATCCTAACCAGCCTGATAAGAAGGGCAAAAAAATTGTATTATGAGAACAGATTATCCAACTTACGAGGTGATATAAAAAAGACCTGGAAAACCCTATCAGAAATTCTAGGAACAAAAAAGATATCACGAAATAGCGAAATAAAATTAGCAAAATCAGATGAACCCCAACTCCCACCAACAGAAACAGCAAACAGACTCAATGACTTCTTCTCCACTATAGACAAAACCTTGCCAATAAAATCCCAAGCTCAGATACCCCACCAAATGACTACCTCACTGGCAACTACCCGAACACACACTGTTCCTAGCTCCGACTAACCCATACGAAGTCTCCCTTATTATCAACACGCTAAAAAACAAGGCAGATTTAAATACCTTACCACCCTTTATATACAAAAAAGTGTCCACAAGTGCTATCACCAATCATTGCAACACTCTTTAAACAAATCCATTGAATCCTCCACCTTCCCACAGTACTCAAAATAGCAAGGGTCACCCCGATCCACAAAGGAGGAGACCAAACAGAGTTGAATAACTATAGGCCAATATCCAACTTACACCCCTCTCAAAAATCTTCGAAAAATTAATTTCATAAACGAATCTACTCCTACCTTATCTCCCAAAACATACTCAACCCCTGCCAATTTGGATTCAGGCCAAATAAAAATACTAATGATGCTATTATACACATGCTAGAAACATATATACACTGCAATAGAGAAAAAAGAAGTCCCACTGGGATCTTCATTGACTTACGTAAAGCTTTTGATACAGTTAACCATGACTTGCTCCACGTAAAATTGTCACACTATGGTATAAGAGGGCACTCCTCAACTACCTCAAGTCATACCTCAGCAACAGAAGCCATATGTGTATGCAAATGGGGAAACTCTTCTGCACAACCAATTACAGTTGGTGTCCCACAGGGAAGTGTCCTTGGCCCCTCTTCTCTTTCTCCTATACATAAATGACCTACCAAATGCTTCGCAATTACTCAAACCCACACTATTTGCAGATGACAACTACATACGTCTTCTCCCACCCGAGCCCAGTCACGCTAGCCAATACTGTAAATACAGAATTACAGAAAATATCTACCTGGATGAGGACTAACAAACTTACAACTAAACATTGACAAAACCTACTTCATTCAGTTGGTAACAGAGCTACAGATGTCCCTCTTAACATAATGATAAAACGGATCACCTATCACAAAGCTAACAGAGGGAAAATTCTTAGGAATCCACCTTGATAATAGACTCAAATTTCATACACATATACAACAAATTTCTAAGAAAATTTCCAAGACTGTAGGCATACTATCGAAGATACGGTACTATGCTCCACAGTCAGCCCTCCTGGCCCTATATCACTCTCTTATTTACCCCTATCTCACCTATGAATTTTGTGCATGGGGCTCAACAACAAGTAACCATCTCAGACCACTAATTACCCAACAAAAGGCTGCAGTTAGAATGATAACAAATTTCTCACTATAGGCAGCACACTCCAACCAATATTCAATACACTAAACCTATTCACCATACAAAACATTCATACTTATTACTGCACCTATTACATACATAGAACACTTAACTCTGATATTAACCTCCCCTCAAACATCTCCTTGCCAACCTCAACAGAACACATGACCAACACAAGGCACAGATCACTCTTTGATGTTCCTCGTGTCCATCTCACACTATGCAAAAACTCAATGCACATAAAAGGCCCTAAAATCTGGAACTCATTACCTGTAAATATAAAAGAAACACTACCTGTTTATAAATTCAAGTCTCTTCTCAAAGATCACTTACTCACCCAAAACCAAATAAATACTGAATAACTGAACCTTATAAATTGTATATCTTAAATGTTTCTCACAATTATATCACATAAATGTTAAACCTAAAACCCAATCTAACTTTATTATTTTTTAAATACACTACCTAACAGAATACTCCATTCTACTGAATGTACAACAATGCATACAACCATATGACCTGTCTTTGTAATACTCACTTGTGCTTTATAGTAATCTGTTTACATTAAAGTTTTATCACCGATGTCATCATTGCTTAGTTCATCTTAAGTTAATTTTAAGCCAGCCCGTAATGCTATGCATAGTATAAGTGGCTTTGGCATACTGCTCTTTTCTGTATTTTTTGTACCTCTGTATGTGTGCACAAATGAGCCAGTAGGCTTACTGCAGTGTCATTTCGCTTTTATATTTTTATCTTATCGAAACTCTGGGCATATTAACGGTGGAGGCACCATTCAACAGCAAAATTTCAGATAAAAGCTAGCAGATCTATTGTTCATCTTAATGAAATGTGTCAAATTAAACATATCTATGGAGATATTCGACGTAAACCTGACAACAGTCCTTTAATGGTAACTGAGGATGAGGCCATCCAGTCTACCGCAGCCAGATCTGAGACTGAACCTCTGCCAAGTGTGGAAGAGCCCAACCTCCCTGCAAAGGATTCTGGTGATACAAGAATGTCATCACACACACCAGTTGTGGAGCTAGCCATCCCTGCTAGCACATGTGGAACTACTGATCTGCCACTACCTATACCTAGGCCTACACCTGAATATGGGGATGAGCATGTCATTTTTCCCAATACACATATCCACAACAGTCAGACGGACACCACACTTGTAACCCCCCCCCCCTGGAAGCTGGAGATGAGTCAGATGTACATGACCTACCTACAATGAATGCTGAGGCAGTATTGCCACAGGCACTATCAGAGAACACTAATGTAACCATGGTACCTGTGGAAAATACTGTATATTTTCCGGAAATACGGTAATTTATATGTAAATAGATGCCCTATATTGTATTTTTAAAAGAAGTATGTTATCGAAAATGGGAAACTGGAAGCTGCGCCTGCGCAGAAAGAGACACTCGCCATCTTGGTTTTGAATTTTGTACAAACGTTGGTGTAACGGGAAGAATTTTTCGTGCTCTAGAGGTTAAAATTGTGTTGACACCTCTCAAACAGGAGGCGAAATTGGTGGATGTGCATTCCTGCATAACTTGAGATATCAGACGACTGGACAAGACAGCTCCAGGAACCTCAGATAAGCTCTCTAGATTTGTGTGTATTTCTGGCCAGCATTATTTTCATAGATTTAGTTAGAGTGAGGTTTTCTGAGTATGATACACATTAATCTCCAGTCAAATTGGTGAGTGATATTAAGATATATTTTCCTTCTGTTATGTAATTGTGTATATAATAACCATTTATTATTTTTAATATACAGTCCACAAAATTTATATATTTACCAGTATCCTGGTGTAAAGTATATTTTATTTAATTAATAGGTCCAGAGCAACTTGTGGATATAACAGTGGTAGGTATCGAAGGGGGACATTTTTTGCAACCAAGGTTTCCCAAATTCCTACTTGTCTAATTGATAAATAAAAATTATCTTTGTTATTTAGGTTGTAATTATGGTTCATCCCGATAAATGCAATTTTCCATATGCTTTTCTGTATTTTTTTTGTACCTTGTATGGTGCCAAAAAATTTTTAATAATAAATAAATAAAAAAAATAAAAAAAAAAAAGGGGACAGGTGTTAAAGAAAAAACTTCCAGAAGTGCCCTCCACTGAGGGCACTGGATCGCCTGACCTTCCCCAAATTTTAAAAAACTTGCAGAAAATTTTTTTGGGAAATTGAATAAGTTTGACAATTTAATAAAAATATTTTTAGTCAGGAGATGCTGTTGAGTACGTTGATGATGTCAAAAGCGCAGCAATCTCTGTTCAGTTTCAAGCAATTTGTGTGGAAAACTGTATTTATCTGAATGTATCCTTATGTACATAACAGTAAATGAACAGATAATTATTATTTATCAGTTAGACAAGTAGGAATTTGGGACACCTAGGTCGCAAAAAATGTTCCCCTTCGATACCTACCACTGTCATATCCACAAGTTGCTCTGGACCTATTAATCATAAATGAAATATACATCACCAGGAATGCTAGTAAATATATAAATTTGTGGACTGTATATTAAATTAAAAAATGATTATATATAAATGCACATT